CGTAGTAAATGGCCGCTTCTGTTCGAGTCTATGAAAAACGCTAAAAAATGCTGCGTTTCCCGCACTGGTCCCTCCTCTTTTCTATCCAAATTGTAGTAGCTGCTCGCCTTACAGTATAATAACTGGCCACGCGTTATAATGAGCTCTCCAAAAAGAATATGATAAGTTTATTAGTATCTGAAGATTACTAGTATATCTTGCTCACGAAGTTAAGCTTTCCGGAGGTGTTCTTGAACAAGCGATAGCGGAGTTATTGAGATATTGATGCGATCACAAAGCAAGGATATTGACCGAGCTACGACTCTGAAAAATACAATTGAGCTGAGGAAAAGGCTGAAATAGGTGTAGAAGCCTGTAAAATATGAAAGTAACCGAAGATCGGTTGTTAGCTTCAACTGGTCTTCCTGCTGATAATCATCGATAAACCTGATCAGTGAAGCTGGAGCAGCACTTCGTCGTATGAATGGACGACTTCTACGTTTTGCATTCACATGTACGTCATAAAGACAGCTTGCGCTCCTAATGTGGATGAATCTGGACAAGAGATCAGGGAGACAATATTGATGCCGATCCAAGAGAGCAGGACCCGTTCGTATGTGGTCGCGAATCCTGCAAATTTTACCTATCTCAAAACTTACTGTCTTTTAACTAGCAACTTCTTTATATAGAACCCTTCATTTACACTGGTGGTCGAGAGTGCGGTGGATGCACGGCGTATCCTTGGAGATTCGCACAAAGCAGAATGAGCTTAGTTGGAATTTTTTTTCAAAGGAGCACTTTTTGGAAAAGCTGTTTTGCATGCGTTGCACGGGGAAGTCATCCATTTTGTGTCTGCCGTGCAGAACAACTTCTCCTTCCCTTAATGATAACGACTTCTGCCCTATGCGTGGAGCTAGAACTTTGCCGTGATTCCGTTCAGCTCCGAACAGGCCCGCTTAGGTGGCCGCCAACAATCACTGGCTAATACCCGATATATTTTGAAGGCAGAGAGGGGCACTTCATTGCTAACTTATCCGTAGAGAGCAGTTTCTTTGGGCTATCGAACACTACGGATAAGATAATAAGTGAACGACTCATTTCGAGCGTACTTTTGATAAGGACCGGTGGATGTCCTACATTCCACACTACCTGCCCACATCCCATCCACTTTTCTGCACAGGTGATCCACCCTGGAGCTCCTGCACCCTTAGCTCTTTGCGGAGGTGTCCTTTCTCCTGGTTGCCGGGCGTTCCCTGGGTCATGGCAGGCGGAATGTGTGAAAACGTTTCAGGGTTTCTCACCCATTACACCAATATTTATCAGAAGTCTACTTTAAATGAGTCGATTACGTGTCGTGAGCCCTCTAATCCTTATCTTGAGTATTGGGAAAAAATGGAGTGGCCCCCCGAACTGGAGTTTCACCGTTTAGAATCATTGCTTCTGACGCTTGTAACACTTAAAACGTGAGTGTTGCTGTGGTCAAGGAAGACGATATTACGAATGTTCGGAAAGTAATGCGGGTTTTTGACCTCCATTTTCAAAGAGGCATATCCTCACCAAAACCGTACATTTTTGTGGTAACAAAAATTATTGGAAAGCACTAATCTTTCTTATCAAGATGCGTACTGAAATGTCCTTCCCACGTTAAAATCAGCGCTTCTGGAGGCGATGATATCGTCGAGCATCATTTTCACATCAGTTTGAACATTGAAGCATTTCTTACTCAAGAAGTTGTCGAGATGGTTGGAAAAGGGGGTATTGGTGAGGGAGAGGTCCAATGAGCAAGACGTGTGGATCAAAGCTTCGTACGCCAGTTTGTCAATACTTGCGAGGTCGTTTATGGGACATGTGGCTGAGCGCCACCATGAAGGAGGGTTGTTTCATTTCTCTCGGTTGACGAAGTTGGTGTTTCTAGAGCATCTCATCGGTATGCTGGAGAGACATTGGTGTTGTGTTAAATTCACCTGGTTTCCAAGAGCTGGGTTGCATCAGTCCCGTGGAAAACCGCCGAATGTTCAGTTCAACTTTGTCTTCTATAATTTCGGTTTTGGAGAAGTTTTCGCTTTTTTTTTCATCGCGGTCTAGCTTTTAACACGTTGACGACATCGCGCGTTTTGTGCTTTTGCACCGCGTGGGACAGAGCGATTTTGCGAGCGCAGCCGCCGCACACCAAATCCATGGATTTTAAGTTGTAAATCCGCAATACTTAGATGCGATGAAATGTTTTCAATGATGTTCGATCTGTCTAGCTTATCAGGAGTTACAGTAATGGAAGTTTGACCGAAATGACGTGTTAAGGCCATGAAAAGGGAAATTTTACTTATTTCCCTTTAGTGGTTCCAAAATTAATTTGGACGTGGTTGTTTCAGTAAAAACACATATCTTCCCATACGAATAGGTTTGTATTCACTTCTGTTATTCCTTTTTATCAACATGTCTACGTTATTGAAAAGAAAACGAGGAATGAACTGAACAGACATATCCGTAAGGTCTGGAAAACGTCTGCCAAACTAAAGAATATTTGGCCTTTCTGTGAGCCATGTGGTTTTTAAGTATGCTAATGTATGACCTATAGAATGAGTACAAAGACCTTAGGAATAAGTCGCACAAGCGCAAGAAAAAGGGAACTTGGGTGGGACGCGTTACCGCGTCACAATGTCCCACGAGGTGCGCAAAGTGGGACGCGTTACCGCGTCACGCTGTCGTCAACGTGTTGAAAAGATGGCTCCCTTTTATAGTGAAGATGACAATACGTTTCAAGTACTAGTAGTATTTGGTACGTGAAACGGGTGGAAATGACCTTTTGGAAACACGGTGTTGCTACTTCGTCAGTCAGCCCATGCAAAAGCCACCTGTTCAGCTTTTTCACCTCCTTAATTATCTTCAGGAGCCACAATATTTCAGTTTACCTATTTCTGGTCCTACTGCTTGCTATAGCACAGTTATACTGAAATCATCTTCTGCCAGAATTTTAAGAAGACCGATGTCAGTAGCAGAAGTCATGTATAAGTATAAGTATAAGTTTATTACGTCTGCAAAAGGCACACGTGGAAAAGAAAATGAGCATATACAAAGAACAGTGTGCTTATAAACAAAAAACTCAAATACTAAAACAGGTAACTTCGGAATCAGTCTCACAAAACTATGACTCTTGGTTCCTCAGTATTGTGACTATACGATGCTTGAACTGAGCTTGTGACAGAGTAACCGGTATGTTCTTTGCAATGTTTATATAATCACTGCCAGCTCTATACGTGAAGCTTTTGGCACGTAGATTAGTTTTAGGTCGCGTTAAGGAGATTTTCATAGAACCTCCCCTAGTTCTCGAACGTGTCATCTTGAAGACATTGGTAGAACCTGACAAACAAAGACCTTGTATCAGCTTATGAACTAAGCAGAGATCTGCAGAACTAAGAACAATGGTCAAGACTTCATCACCTTCCTTTGGCAATTCATTCAAGGAATTTTCGGACAAAGGATGTGCTGCGCATCTAAAGGAGCTTCTTCAGCCCCATCCTTCAATGCTACTTCACAGGTCTATGGAGCACTACATCAGAGTTTCAGCGCAACGAAGAAACTTTCCAAAACCACTGTCTTGACACCTTTAGTCCTATTCTAAGAAAAACTCCCAGTGTAACAAGTGAAATTGAAGTTCAAATATACTGGAGGAAAGACGATAGAATAGGCTTGCCAGCGATAAATTGTATAGTCTAATGAGGTTGCATGAAGAAATTTTCCCAACTAGAAAGGCATCTCTCGGAAACTGCCGCATTAACTTTCCGAACACCTGATAGATGAGAAAAGGATTCCACGTTGAATACGCAACCTTTGTGTGAATTTTCAAGCTCTTTTCATGTCTGCCAATAGTTTCAATAGGCGAGGATGCGATAATATTGGTTTGAAACAGTGAAATATATGAACACAAGAAGGGACGTTCTCACGGCGATGGAGAAGAGGCGCGCTTGCTCGCGATGTGTGTTCCAGCAGCGACTGTAACAGGGTCCTTCCCTCAGAGTAAGCTCGCCTTCGCGGCGTCAACTCCGATTGATTGGCAAGCCAATGGCTATGCCTCGCCGTTGAACCCTAGCAGTCATTGCATTCGCGAGGTAGAGCAGAGCGTTTACGTTATGTCAGACCGAACGGACCAGCCCTGCGCGAGGATCAACATCAGAAACAAGCCCCGTTTTTAGGCCGTTAAGCCTTCGCTTTTTCTTCATTTTGCACATCTTAACCGCTTTTCACAGCGACGGGGAAAAAGATTTCAGCGCTACTGAACTCATGCTGTGAATAGTTGACCAAGCAGGACGCAATTGTATCTGCAATTGTTTTTATGCTCGAAAAATAATACTATGCATTATTCCGATGAAAGTAAGGTTCTGTGTTGGACTTTCAAACGATGATGTGCTGCGGGTTATGGTCGAAACGGCCTTCTATCTAGACGTACATGCATCCGACCGAAGTAATTGCTCTGAAATTATGCCTATTGATGTCAATAAATTACTGGCATAGAAACTGTACCAAACTCGTTCCTATCAGAATTTATGTTTTAGAGGGCAGTTTTTTCTGCGTTTATTCGTCTCTTTTTCGGAATGCCTCTATTGATCTGCAGATCGTATTGAATTTGCATTCAGTTCAGTGATCCAGTCTGATGCACGAGTCGATGTTTTGCGATTGTTTTAGCATTTTTCTACCACCCAATACTCGTTAAAGAAACTCACGTGCTCAGGAACTGTGATTATGGGGAGGACTTAAAGGCACGGTATACCTATATAGAAAGAACAGTCACACGCTTTTATATCTCTTGTTAATAGGAAGAAGCCGAACTTGCCATTTTGTCTCATCCTTTTGAAGAGCCAAATGCGTTTTTTTTTTTCCATAGAATCTAAGACAACCTGCAATGGGTCCAAACTCGAGTTGGAGTTTTGGAAAGGCAAATTGAAGAGTTGGCGGAGCAAAGCACGTACGACGAGTCCTCCCCGAGCCCTTCAAGCGGTAAAACACTACTCAGAATTGACGCAAACTCACTTTGAAACACCATCCTTTGTGAAAATCCAGTTCTGTTTCGCGTTACATTTCAACAGTGCAGTAACAGTTTTTGCTTCATATCCTCCTCCAAACTGCTTGTTGAACTTCAAACATAATTTTTCTTTTCATGAAAAATCAATAAATTTCGTATTTCGTACCTCCATTGAAGCAATTGTACCGCCGGCCGGTGCGGTACAAATCACATGCATTCGGTTGCAGCCTGCAGCTGTGTTCGTCAATATTCTGCAAAGGGATAGCATTGATATTGTATCGATTAGTAGAGAATCAATATGTCTAGCTAGAGGCGTGCTGTTTTTGAGGATAAGGATTTGTGAAAAATCGATCCGTCTTCAATTATACATTGCAGAATACTCATTTAAGATCAGGCCCTGCTTTACACAGTGTCCTGTGCTGTAACAACGTCGTGATTTGAATACATCTCATGCTTCTACAGTGGGTCGGAAAGTTACACGTCTATTACCATATAATAATATCACGGTTATCGGCCATGATCTCAAAGAGGATGTGTGCATCTGTGGACAAAGGGGGGAGCGTATTGGTGTTGCAGTGAGGGTCGTGATCGTAGGAGAAATGATTTGTAATGAATGGAGTAGTGCGGAATTCGCTGTTTTAGGAGCTTCTGCTATTTTAGGAGCTGTTTTAGTAGCTAGCTTCTGCTCTCATATTCTGCTCTGCTTGTAGCTAGAGGGATTGCATGTGGGACTACGATATGGGGCGCGGAGGCGGCAGCCCTGGCAAGGGAATACGTCCTCCAAAACCTGCATTCGTGAAGCGCATCTTCGCCCATTCATTGACACAAGATTCGTCAACGACCTTTGAGTAAGCGACGATAGTTTTGGGGACCATCCCGAGCCGGAGTTGCCGACTTTGCCGGGCCCTAGGATCACCCCACACGCAGGGAGAACCACGGTGACCTTTGAATTTTTTGAAGGGTGGGTGTGTGACAGGAGATCCACGTTCCGCGAAAGGATTTCTTAGCTGGCTAAATCTTCCTGAAAGAGCATTTTCACGTCAAATTCATTGGAAGGGCTACTTTACGTCCCGTACCATTTTCTTTCTGGAGCGAATTCTATAAACGCCACTTGGAGTGTGTCAACGTTATTTGATACACCTTAACGTCTTCGGAAAAAAAAAAATAGTAGAAGGAAAACTGAGAAATAATCATCCATCTTACCTCCGTCCGGGGTTCGTGACGGGGTAGATGGATGACTCGACACCACATATCCGATACATTCGTCGCCAGCGTCACCCGGTTTCAAGGGACATGGCTCGTCAAAGCGTATGGCTACATAAGGCTAGCTCATAGACCTTGGATAAGGCGATTTGGCGAATTTAGCGCTGGGGGCGGAAAGGGTTCTTCGACAATATCGCGTCGCGCCAGTTGGTGGGGGGGGGGGGCCAGTTCGAGCAATTCACCTTAGCCTAAACATTATTCAATCGATACGTATTATTCCTAACGCACGACTCGCAAATTCTTGCAATCCATCGAAGGGTTTATCTAATGGCATTTTCAAGCGGGACCGGTTGAAGGTTTTTTCTTCGTTGTGTCGCTTGGGCTCTATCTCTGAATCGACATATGGCGTTAACTTCTGGTTGGCTTCACAGTTTCCTGCACCATTGGCTGCGATCAGCACACTTTTGCTCGGCTGACATTCCACCAGGCTGAAAAATATTGCATGGATTCACGAGAACTTTAACGATTTTGACAAACTCTTGCAAACAGCGACCATTCACGCATTCTGTGAAGGCCATCAAAAACATGTGTAAATATAAATAATTATTGCTCGTGTTGGCGAGTGGTACCGATACTCGGGACTTTTTTCTAGCATAAGTTAGGCAAGAAATTGAACCTCAGACCTGGGGATTCATTGATAAAGAAGGATAATAATTTATTTATTATCACTATATTTAGTTGTTGATCAATTCTTTGAGGGCGGAAGTGGTGTAGTGACAAGTGGCGCGCTCACCACGCGAGCGGTCCGGGATCAAATCCTGGGTCGTGAGTCGCCCGGGCCAACCAAGCCTTCCATCCCTCCGGGGTCGGTTAATTGGTACCAGACTTGTCTGGGAGGATAAAAACACTGACTTGAACATCGGCTGGCCCCCGCAAGTCATTGTATAGGCCACATCGCATTCAAACGCCACTGCGAATGTACAAATGGAAGTAGAATGCGTGCCGCATCCCAAAAAGGGATTGATCAACGGCAAATGCTTTATCTTATCCTTTATCCTTAAAACACATATTAAAGTGCTCTCCCGGTACACGTTCACCGAGAGCTCGCCCAGCCACGATTAACTTGGTGCAGCTTCCCAATCGGGGTTTTAAGTGCAGTGTCAACCGTCCTTCGCACAGATTTCAAAATTTTTGAACACCCACACCCCCCATTCTCTTGAGTTTTGAAACCGATATGACCTCTCATCACCACCTTCAGCCTTGAAAATACTCCCAGTGCCACTAGCTTTTATCCCACCCTGACCATCACCCCCAAAATCATAGCGGTTTCTACAGTATTTGATTCCATGATTCTACGACCACCGCACACAGCTCTACTCTGCCCAAATCTCCACTCTTGAACGGCCATCGAGCAGGGAAGCGGGTTTGGAGTGAATATTGTAAAAGACGGACAATCCCTATAAAAATCCTCGAATTTTCCTACTTCATGTTCTTCCATGAAGTTCTTCCCAAAATCGTCACGAACCCCTTCTGGAACGACTCCTTCTCCCGTAATACTACCTCTTTTCTTCCAACTTTTCTCCTTCATGAACTCCAAATACCATCCCCCTCCAGAAAAAAAAAACGTCAAACAGACCCCCTCGCTGAATTGCGCAGCGAAGGTTGTGAATGTAAGGGTGCTAAATGGTGCGTCTGTAAAAGAAAAAAAATCCAGACATAAGTAAAATGGTGGAAAACCCGAGAAACGGCACTCTCGTCTGCCCGTTGATTTCAAGTTTGGAGAAATCAACCGCGGAACGTTTCGCCGCCTGTTGCAGCTACTTGCACTGTATTTTGTAATCAAGTATAATTTTATTAGCACTTTTTAAGTGCTCATACTGCGGAATTATTTATGTGCGAAAGAAAATGCTGAAGTCAGTAAATTGTAAGGTGGGCGGCATGACATGAATGGAGCTCCTGAGAATATGACCACGCAGATGTTCGGGGTACGGTATGTTTGAACTCCGTTATTTATTTCTTTCTACATTAGTGATAGGGCGCTTCTGCCGTTTTTACCGTCCCTTACCCTCTCTACTCTTCTTTCCCTTTCACGAACACCAAGAACATCACTTTTATTGCGAGTATCGTCTTCAAAGGATATTGTCCAAGAGTTATAAAGCGGAAGCTGACTTTATTGTCCACGATGTTCCAGTCAAATTCAAAGTTTGGATATACGAAAGGCACGTCAGAAGCCATCCGTTCAAATAATGACGCTTTTGTCGCTAGCGAGTATATTGAAGAAAGTGACGTCCCAACGAACTTTTGACTAAGCCAAGGAGAAAGAAAGAAGACTGTTTCTTCCTTCTCACGGGCTTACAATTAGTCCTCGTGGGTGAAAGCAGGGTCAACCGTCCGTTGGACAAAGTCCAACGGTGCAGAGTCAACCCTGCGTTGCGCAGTTTTCAACGGCCACGTTGCGCAGTTTCGCCCGATTAGACACGTTCTCTCGCGCGAACATTCACACTCGCATGCTCGAGCCGTCTGTGTCTCCGCCCATACAGCGTGCGTTGAGGATCTCTCAACGTGCCGTTGCGAACTGCGCAACGCAGGGTTGACTCTGG